ACTGGAGTAAAGGTAAGTTCCAAAACGCTTAAGTTTGCTTTCCATCAGCACTTTGTTTTGGAGTGATTCAAGAGTTCTGAAGACTTAATTGTATGCTATTTGTTGAAGGTATGCAGGTCCTCACCTGTTCTCCTTCATCATTTTCTCTTCTGCCTCAGCACATGGGACTACATAGAGTAATAAGGTGACCACTGATTCAAAGTGTTATTTCATTTTAAAGTTCATTGCATAATTACAGTTATGCACATATGAAGCTCAAAGGCAGCTTGGCTTAGTAAAACAAGTGCTAGACCTGGAATTAGGAAGACCTAGACTTAAATCATTTTATTATTGCTTACTAGCTATATTATTTTAGGCAAATATTTTAACTTCTGTCTCATTGTTTTCTTTGTATAAAGGAGATAACCCATGTTTTAGAGCTGCTCTCCCCTTGACTGGTTGGGTCCCTAGAACTCAGCAACTACATCTCTCCTCAGGGTCTAAGATTAGCCCTAAGAGATTGGGGGAGCATCTTTTCTAATGCTTTTGAGCCCCTCCCCACCCATTGTGCTTTCCTCCATGACATTTGTTTTTAATTTTTAAATTTTTTATTAATTTACTTATTTCTCGTTTTCTACATTCAGTTCCACAAGATTTTGAGTTCCAAATTTTCTCTCCATCTTGTCCCTCCCCCAGCCACCAAACCTGAAAACATATGTACTCACTGGAGGGTAGTGAAATTAAAGAATAAAATATCAGTATTGGGAGACGTATTTATTATGTTCAGCCTTAAAAATCTGCTCTAAGTGACAAGGAAATCCTGGATGAACAATTTGTAGGAACTCAACCTAACTGATAACTTTTGCTTTGGCACTTATCCTAATTCTGCTTCCTTTTATTCTCCCTACAGACCTGAGACAGTTTGCATAGGCAACATTTAATAAATACTTATTACCTTGACTTTATTTCACTTTTTGCTAGTGAGACAGCGGACATTCAGAATACTTTTTCTCCTAATCTGCCCACCCTTTTATTCTGCCCCCCTCTTATCCCCTTCCTCTTCTATTTTCCTGTAGGGCAGGATAGATTGCCTGTATATCTTATTTCCCAGTTGCATGTGAAAACAATTTTTAACATCTGTTTTTAAAACTTTGGGTTGCAAATTTTCTCCCTTCCTCACTCCCTACCCATCCTCATTGACAAGGCAAGGAACTTGATACAGGTTATGCATGTGTAGTCATGCAAAACATTTCCATAGTAGTCATGTTGTGAAAAACTAACTATATTTCCCTACATCCTATCCTGTCCCCCCTTTTTTCTAGTGTTTGCTTCTGATTACCCCTTCCCGTAATCTGCCCACCCTCCTATCATTCCCCTACTCTCTTATCCCCTTCCCCCCTATTTTCCTGTAGGGTAAGATGAATTTCCATACACAATTGAGTGTGTATGTTATTTCCTTCTTAAGCCAAATATGATAAGAATAAGATTCACTTATTCCCTCTCACCTTCCCCTGTTTCCACTCCACTGTAAAAGTCTTTTCTTGTCTGTTTTATGTGAGATAATTTACCCCATTCTACCTCTCTATTTCTCTTCTCCCAGTGTAATCCTCTCTCAACCCTTAATTTTATTTTTTATATATCACCCCTTCATCTTCAACTCACCCTGTTAACCCTGTGCCCTCTATCTATCTATCTATCTATCTATCTATCTATCTATCTATCTATCTATCTATCTACATATAATTTCCCCCCTCCAACTACCCTAATACTGACAAAGGTTTCATGAGTTATAGATATCATCTTTCCATGTAGGAATGTAAACAGTTCAACTTTAGTAAGTCTCTTATGATTTCTCTTTCTTGTTTACCTCTTCATGTTTCACTCGAGTTCTGTATTTAAAAGTCAAATTTTCTATTCAGCTCTGGTCTTTTCATCAGAAACACTTGAAAGTCCTCTATTTCACTGAATGACCATTTTTTTCCCCTGAAGGATTATACTCAGTTTTGCTGGGTAGGTGATTCTTGGTTGTAATCCTATCTCCTTTGCCCTCCTGAATATTATATTCCATGCCCTGCGGTCCTTTAATGTAGAAGCTGCTAAATCTTGTGTTATCCTGATTGTGTTTCCACAGTACTTGAATTGTTTCTTTCTGGCTGCTTGAATCATTTTCTCCTTGGCCTGGGAACTCTGGAATTTGGCTACAATATTCCTAGGAGTTCTCCTATGGGGATCTCTTTCAGGAGGAGGTTGGTGGATTCTTTCAATTTCTATTTTGCCCTCTGGTTCTAGAACATCAGGGCAGTTTTCCTGGACAATTTCTTGAAAGATGATGTCTAGGCTCTTTTTTTGATCATGGCTTTCAGATAGTCCAATAATTTTTAAATTGTCACTCCTGGATCTATTTTCCAGGTCTGTTATTTTTCCAATGAGATATTTCACATTGTCTTTTTTTTCTTTAATTCTTTTGGTTTTGTTTTACAATGTCTTGATTTCTCATAAAGTCACTAGCTTCCATTTGCTCCATTTTAATTTTTAAGGAAGTATTGTCTTCAGTGAGCTTTTGGACTTCCTTTTCCATTTGGCCAATTTTGCTTTTAGGCATTCTTCTCCTCATTGGCTTTTGGGACTCCTTTTTCCATTTGGGTTAGGCTGTTTTTTAAGGTGTTATTTTCTTCAGTATTTTTTGGGGTCTCCTTTAGCAAGCTGTTGACTTGTTTTTCATTATTTTCTTGCATCACTCTCATTTCTCTTCCCAGTTTTTCCTCTACTTCTCTTACTTGCTTCTCAAAATCTTTTCTGAGCTCCTCCATGGCCTGGGATTGCTTAACATTTTTCTTGGAGGCTTTGGATGTAGGAGCTTTGATTTTGTTATCTTCTTCTGGTTATATGTTTTGATCTTATTTGTCACCAACAAAAGGTTCCATGGTTTGTCTTTTCTTTTGCACAGTTTGCTTATCATCCTAGACAATTACTTGAGTTTTAAACTCTTTGTTAAGGTAGGGGTCTGCTTCCAGTATGGAGAATGTACTGTCCCAAGCTTTGGGCAGCTGTTTTCAGAGATATTTCTAGGGACCTGTAAGTTTTCAGTTCTTCCAAGGTGGTATGATCAAGGGCAAGGGGTTTACTACTTTCATGCTCTGTGCTGTGGTCTATGAGTTTGTACTTAGACTAAAGCCCATTGTTGGTTGACTTTATTTCAAAGTCTCCATTCCACCTAATACACTCTTTAGATAGATTGTTCTTATTTGGAAATGATTTCAGAGCAGAGAATCTTGTCATTTATTTTAGTAGTTAGGTAATTGATTTATGGGCTATTTAGTTCCTTACTTATGGGGGAATGATAATATCTGTAGTATCTACTTCAAACAGTTCTTATGAAAATCAAATGAAATTATATATCATATTGTAATCCTTGAAGTGCTATTGTCTATTAATATCAGTTTTATATTTTATTATACTTACCTTAATTTTTTGTTTAACAGTCAGAGAGAAATGGTCTGTGGATATTTTGCTTGGTTGTGTTAATGCTGAGCCTAGCTTAACAGAGCAAGTAGATAAAATGAATACTTCTAACAGAATAAAAGTTTGGTGATGGAATCTCACTTGAGCAGGCTCCCTGACAGCATTCTCACATAGAAAATAGGACACTGAGTATAATATGTAATCCATCCATTTCTTACACACTTTCACTTTCTTCCATTATGTCTCTGCTTTGAGAACATTTCATTCCATGTAGTTTAGTAATTGACTACTTACTATGGTGACTTTTTTTTGCTTTTCATTTTAAAGTTATTGAATTGATTTTTTTTTCACACAGCCTATAAGTCTACCTGTGTCTTTCTACCTTCCCCTTTTCAGAGATCCATTGCTTGTAAAACAGAATAAAATAAAAAAAAAAAGTAGTTCAGCAAAATTAAGCAACATATGAAAAGTCCCCCACATTTGTGAAGAAACATGGTAGGGGGAAGTGCATTCTCATATCTCTTTTACGTTCTATCTCCTGCATTAAGCTTCACTGTCTTTACAAACTGCAAAAGAAAGAATATGAGGACTGTTAGCAACTGCTGAGAAAAACTCATCTTTACAACGCTGTTGCTGTATACTAGTGTTCTGCTCAGCCCGAATTGCTTAGAGAACATTGGAGTTATATTTCCCCACTTTTCTCTTTCAAACAAAGAGATATCTTTTAGCCATTCTATCTCCTGCGTTAAGCTTCACTGTCTTTACAAACTGCAAAAGAAAGAATACGAGGAATGTTAGCAACTGCTGAGAAAATCTCAACTTTGATCATAATTTGTCATGATAAAAGGAAACAAATTAGCACAACTGACACCACAATGAAAAATTCCAAAAACATATGCTATATGTAACATCTGTGGACCTGCTACTTCAATAGAGGGGTGGGTGATGGTGTCCTCTCATATCTCTTTGAGTCATGCTTGATCATTAAAATTTAAAGTTTCTTTTTTTGCATGTAATTTAAGGAAATGTCTTTAAAATCCTGTTCCCGTTTGTGGGTCATTTTTTTATGCATGAGTGATTGTAGGTAACAATTTAGTTTGTGATTATTCTCCACTTCTAGTAGTCTATTTGCATTGTTGTCAAATTTATTTTGAAGTTACATTTGTCATAGGAGAATTTGTTGTCTGTTAGTTTATTTAAGATAGCAAACTTTTGGTTTATAAATCTGGGTACTTGATTTTTTTTAAAAGAAATAGCAGCAGCTGCAAAAACAACAATAAGAGGTAGCATTTACATAAATAATGCTTAAATGGTTGCAAAGTACTTTACCAATACAATAGCATTTAATGCTCACAATAACCCTGAAAATTAGGTAATTTTATGTATATGTACATAAAATTTTATGTACATGTACATACATGCATATTTGTGTGTATATTTACATAGAGGTTGATAAGTTATAGATAGATAGATAGATAGATAGATAGACAGACAGATAGAAGATAAAACATTTATTGAACATTTACTATGTGTCATACACTATAGTATAAGCAGCAAAATAGTCCTGTTTTGAAAGAGCTTCTATTCTAAGATAACACATATAGGGGTACTGGCATGGGGGATGAGAGGAGGAAGGTAACCCACATGGGGACAGTATTTAGATATTTAATATATATAGATGCTAACAGTTATAACCTTTCATGAGAAGTTACAGTTTCTACCACATTGCTATATTATCTGTGTCAATCACTGTCTGGACTCTTTAATAATGATGACCTCTCTATAATGTCTTATGGCAATAACATGGTCTTATATTGATCTCAGAAGTATGTAAAACATTTTTTTTAAAAAAAAGTTTGCATAACTCAACCTTTTGTTTGACACTTCTTTGTCTACGTGTTATTGGTTGATTGATTTCATATGGATGGCACTCATAAAGTCTTTTGGTACTAATCTTAAATGTTTGCTGTTTCATAAACTCCACCTGGAGGTAAACAGATATTTGTTGCATTTGGGATATGACTCTCATAGGAGAAAATAGGAAAAAAGTCCCTCTGTCATTCTTGAGCTGAGTTTCATTGCATTTGGTCATGACTCATTCACAAGCATTCCAACGAATGTACCATGTGACCTAGAACAGAAAAGAATGATGATGATGATGATGATGATGATGACAACTAAGTAAATACTGCATAATATTAATAAAATACAGGACCATCACTCTTAAGGCAGTTATGGAAAGATGAATACTTACACACACACACACACACACACACACACACACACACACACAGAAACCCAAAGAACTAATAGATATTCTCAGACCATGTGATAAATAGGTTCATATATAAAGAGACATTTCTGAAATAAACAGGCACCATTTCATAGAGTAAGAGCAAAAACAGACAATGGGTTTGTACCATTAGGCTTATCGAATGTAACCAATATCTGTTTCTTATTTGAACTTAGAAACCTATTTGAACTTAGAAAAAGTACAGATGTAAATGGTGTTACAACCTGTGTTGCCTTTGGAAATCCCTTCCTACTTCTGGATCTCAGTTTCCCCATCTGAAAAATTAAGGGATGGAGTGAGATGATCTCTGAGGTCTCTTTCTACTCTAAGTCTATAATCCTTACTGATCTGGCAAAGAACAGGGGAAAGCACAACAACTCTGTAAACAGAGAATGTGGGTTAAAACTACAACTTGGGCAAATTCTTTCTCTTCTCTGACCCTCAGTCTCCTTTTCTTTAAAATTAGGAGTTTGTACTAGATTCCTTAAGATCCCCTCCAGCTTTAAATTTATAATCCTATTTTTAATTGAGTCTCTCTATCCTTACCCCTTCATTTAGCTGAAATTGAATATTAGGAAATGTTATTTCCTCTGGGACCTTAATTTTCTATGCTGTATTCATGTTGACATCCCTACTGCCATGAAAGGACAAAGGCCATTTAAATGGTTTAATGAGATTTGGAGACTCCAGCATTCGAAGTAAATGTGAATTCAATATACTCACAATGATGTATGCAGTCTCATCTTCTGTGTGTTTTAGGTAGTGTATCATTGTGTTGAATCTGAGACTAGTTGAACTCTAAATGATTCAGCATCCCTGCTTGCCACGAATAATGTATGGAGTCATCCAATTGTAGATTCAGAGAGAGATTGCTGTCTGTGCAGGGAAGGGAAGGAGCTGGAAGTGTCACCCACTGGAGAAGATTATACTTATCGACCCATCCTAGAAGAAGAAAGCTTATGTGCTTGAATGTCATGGGAAACGTTGGCTCAGTTTAATCATGGGAAGAGAACTGTATTAGTAAATATCTATTCCCTAAAGATAAATCTACTGTTCCAAAGAATTTGGTACTCCCCCTATGATCCCAAAGGCTATACTGCTAATTAAAAGAAAACAAGGAAAAACAAAACCTTCCAGCCACATTCAGTTTATTGGTGGACTCCTTGAATTTTTTTTTTCTTTTTCAGAGAATGAGAATATAGTCCTAACTGTGTTGGGGTGACTTGGGTTTTGCCCTAGGGTGTGAAATTGTATAGCAATAAAATTATATTTGTAAATCCACTTCAGCTCACTGAAGTACATTCCTTCCTTAGCTTTCTTTGTTCTTTTTCACATTCTCTGTGGCTTCACAATCAAAAACTTGAGCTACTATTTTGGGGTTGTTGCCTTTCCAATCTCCCGAGTCTGCCATACCCTTCCACAATACCTCAGTTGAGGATACCTGTCTTGTTCCTGGACTCCAGAACAAAAATTTCTAAATGTTGCTGTGAGAATAAAGGAGAGGTTTTATTTTTACTTCTCAATTCAAAGGGAGAAGCAGGTATAAAGTGGTGATTATTCTACTATTCATGAACAAAGTGGGTAATCACATTAGAGGTCATTCTGCACCTGCATTCAAATCAATCCGTTCCACAAACAATTATTAAAAGCCTTTTACATGGAAAGCTGGGAATAGAAAGACAAAAATGAAATAACCCTTGCCCTCACATAGCTTACATTTTACTTAGAGGATGTAACATATGCCTAGATAAAGAGATACAAAGTACATACAAAGCAATACAAATGGATTTCAAGGTGAGAGCACCAATAATTCTTGTTGTTTAATCCCTTTAGTCATGTCTGACTCTTTGTGACCCCATATGGGGTTTTATTGACAGAGATACTACAGTGGTTTGCCATTTCCTTCTCTGGTTCATTTTACAGGTGAGGAAACTGAGGCAAATAGGATTAAGTGACTTGCCGAGGGACACACAGCTACTAAGTGGCTCAGGGCACATTCGAACTCGGGTCTTCCTGATTCCAGGTGTGGTGCTCTATCCACTGTCCTCTCTAGTTGCACTAGGGACCAACAAAGTCTTTGTGTAGAAAATGGAGATTGAGGTGGGCTTGAAAGAAAGTTAACAATTCTACTACACGTGACAGACGTAATCTGGGGAAGCAATCCAGCAGTTTCAGGGAGAGGGGAAGGTGATAAGCATGCACAGAGGGTGGGCCAAATATACTGGCACACCTGTGATTGCATTGCCACTGGTCATTCACCTTTTACACAGAGCAGCTATTTCCTCATGCACATTTCCCTTAGGTAAATGCCCAATGGTAACAAAAGTCATCAGTGTGTCTGTACAGCTTGTTTATACTCTATTCCTATGCAAAGGCACAGGGGAAGGAGATAGAATGCAGCATAATATATATAAATAAGGGAATAATTAGCAATCCAATTATTTTGAAACAGATGATAACTATAGGGGAGTAATATGTGGGAAAAAAAAGATTTGAAAAGTAAGATGAGCCAACTTTGTAAGGCATATGCCAGGTTAAGGAGTTGTATTTTATACTATAAAGGAGCACTAAAGACTTTTGCACATTAATATGAACCATGTATTTATGTGCAAATGCTGCTTTCTTTCAAGGAATGAGAAAGACTGAAGGCAGGGAGAACAGTTAGAAAGGCATTGCAGCCATCAAGTCATGAACTGATAGAGTGCTTGTACCAGGGCTGTGAAGAGAAGACAAAGAAACTAATATTTTGAACATAGAAATGGCAAGAATTCGTAATATTACTTATTTGGTATGAATAAAAGTAAGTGGTTGAAGATGACCCCAAAAGCCTGGATAAAAAAAAAAAAGCCTGGATGACTGGGATTTTGGTAATTCTCTCAACAACAAATGGTAAATTGGGAAGAAGGGAGCATTTCTCCAAAAAAGGGAAAAAAGGATGAGTTTTGTTTTGGACACGTTGAGTTAGTTTGATCTGACTATAAGAAATCCAAAACAGGATGTCCAAGAAGCAGTTGGAAATTTAGAACCAAAGCTGAGGAGAGAGATTAGGGATAGATGGATAGAGCTGGGAATCACTGGCAAAGACATATTTGAACCCACGGAGACTGATGAGATTACCTAACAAGATATTATAGATGGAAAAGAGAACAAGGCCTTGGCTAGTGGCCATGTCCTAGATTAAGATTCAATACAGAAGACTAAGAAGGAATGGTCAGAGAGGTAGAAGTTGAAGAAACTTTCAGTGTAAGACTCTTAGTTACAGCAAAGAGAAGGATGCAATAGGTATGTGTCTAATATTAATTTGATTCATTACCTGCATTCACTAACACTAATTTTACAACCCTTGACCTATTCATTAATACTATCCTTAATTCCAGTTTCTTAATGTTGGGCCTTGAGGGTGATGCTTCTCAGGCAATGACAGAAGAAGAAAGATGATTGAATCATGATCTTGAAAGATGCTGCCCTCAACACTTGACCCACCCAAGTTATGTTACACTCACCAGTGTTTCTACCTTAATAGATGGTGGTCTATTGCTCCCCACAAGAATATCTCCATGAAATACATGAGGTCCATGGGTTTTACACAGAGTCTTTATATGGGATATTTCACAGGCATATGAACTTTTTTTGACCTCTGACCTGGAATCATTGGGGCATCATCAAGAGATCACTGTCCATCAGTCATGGAGCAGCAGGGGAAGTCACAGCTATAGAAAGTTTCAGAAGGGGGATAGGAGGGGCCTAGAAAGGAGGAGGGAGTACGCAGAAAGGGCCTATTGCTTGTGAACAAATGGATTTCAAAGCAGCCTCTGAAAAACAAGACAGGCTAAAGCATGAGAATTCTATAGCAGCTTAGGGAAGGTGGGATCATTTTCAGAATCTCTTTGAAAATAGAGATTGTATGCCTCTGAATGTATTCTGGAGACAGTTTGGTATGATAAATCTGGCCCTCCATTGTTACTCTCTGAAGGTATTGTGGCTGGTATTTTCACACACGACATTTAAGAGGTGCTTTAGAAATGCGAAATTATCGAAACACTCATTTCCTGTTTTAGTTCCTCGTCATTTCACAGCTGTGCTCAATTAGGCCTCTTGAAAAACAACAGAGAAGAGAGAAAACAATGCATTCTTCTACCCATAACTATCTCTCATAAAGAAGAAAAAAACCTCCCTCCTTCCTTACTAAGTTCATGTCAAATCATCATTTCTAAATGGTGACCCATGTGTAGGCATGTGGCATGTTCTGCATTTCTGCAAAGACTAATCAGCAGTTCTTTTTGTTTCTATGGGTGTCCCTGGTTAGTTGGCATTTCCAAAAGACCCTCATCCAGCTGCCAAGAAAAATCACTTTCACCCTCTTCCTGAAAATGCTTCCTGGGAGCAAGTGCATCTGGGTACCTTTTACACAAAGGGAAATCGGCATGAAGAGAAAAAGGGCAATTCCTTCTTGGACAAGCACCCAACTCAACCCAAGTATGTCTCCTCCCAATACCAACAACAGGTATGAAGGAAATACTGTGTGTTAGTTCCCACTAATATGTCTTAATATAGTTGGGATAGTGACCTTATTTGGCAAGCAGAGGGGATGAGGATGTGTCTAGCATGTGACCAACAAATGGAATGGAATAATGATATGAGGCCTGGATTTGGAGGCAGAAGACCTTGCTTTCAATCTCATATCTGTTATGTCAGTTCTATATATTTGGTACCTTGGAGTACCTGATTCATCTCTCTGAGTGTCATTTCATCATCTGAAAAATTAGATTGGATTGGATTTTTACTCGTTTTCCCCTCAGGTCAGTAGGAGCTGCTGTGAAAGAAGTCTGTGGATCCTTTCTGTAATGCAAGGCAGAGTGGAATGTCTGACCATACATATCACCTACAGATTCAGTAACAAACACCCAATGGACCCTCCTGGCATACAAAACTACTGAGGAAAAACATATTGAATCATATATTACAAGTTATTAATATTTTAAATAAATAGATCATTGGTCTATAGTTGGAAGGAACCTCTGTCTTCACTGAGGCCAGGCTTTTCATTTTGAAGAGGAGGAAACTGAAGCCCAGCAAGTTTAGACAACTTTCCTAAAGTCACCCAGCTAGTGAACCTGATAAGCAGCATTTAAATCTAGGCCTGCTGACTCAGTTTTCTTTTCACTATATTATACTACCAGCCCAATAAACAAAGAATAAAAGCTGTCATGTTAAACTGATATTTTAGTATTTGGTAGATATGTACTTTTAATGAATCAAATGATGATACATCTAAGTGGAATGTGCAGAAATACTTAGCTATTTTTTTTAATCTATTGCAAATTGCTTGCAACAACCCCTCAAATCAACTTTTCAAAATAGATGCTGTTGAGTGGAGGAAAGGATATAGACTCTGAGGAAAAATATGGGATATCCTGAGGGATAGGTAGGGACATCAGAGAGGAAAGATCACTCTCTGGTATATTACCATTTGAACTGTTCTTGCTAAATGTTAAATTCAATGTTTTGTATCATGAAAAAGACTACAAGTATTCTTGGCAACCTTTAAATTTTTACACTTTGGGACATAGACCCAGTTGCCCCATCCTGGTTGCAGATTTAGTGGAAAGGAACAGATTTTGAGAGTGTCATATGAAGCAGGTGTTGTAAATTAAATCTGATAGCATTTCATGGATATAGAATGCTTCCTACAAGATGTTTTGCCTAGTATATAATAGCAGTCATCTCAGCATGGGTATACATTTGATTTTCCATCCAGAACTTATCCATTCATGCACAATCTTTTTGGTGTCTTTCAAATTGTTATAAGTATCATGGAAAATTTGGAGCTCCTCCTGACTGGTCTGGTATGTCCACCTCATGTATCTGAAGGTCATTTGCACCTAAGTCTAATATTCTGCCTAGAAGAGAATGACCAGAAATGCGGAGGTGTATCTGATTCTCCACAGGTTACTAGGAAAGCTTCACTTCTTATGAACATTTTCAATCAAGATGTCACTTTTTATCATTGTGTATTCTATTCCTCCCTGTATTCTGCATGAATATCCATGATAATGGAGGCACTGATTTCTCTTGCTCTGGAGTCATTAAATAAAATCTCACTTTAAAAAAAAAAAACATCAGTTCCATCTTGCTCAGGATATTTATGGAGCTTTTCTTCATTAAGTTTCATCTCACCTCGATTTCCTGTATGTCACCTCACTTCAGCAAACATTTATGAAGGGCCAACTGCATTTGAGACACTGTGCAGCTGCTAGAGACACAAAGAAGAAAAAGAAAAAGTCCTTATCAAAGTTAAACCAAACTAAGATATGATATGTTCATAAGGAATTCAATACAAAGTCTTTTTATAGTATCTACTCCAGGATATCATCTAAACTCACTCAAGAGTTGAGGAACCATTGAAGGTCCATAATTCTAAAATGGGCATTTGGGTGGCACAGTGGATAGAATCAGGAGGACCATCCTCAGACTCTTGCTAGCTGTTTGACGCTGGGCAAGTTACTTAATCCTATTGACCTCAGTTTCCTCATCTGTAAAATGAGCTGGAGAAGGAAATGTCAAACTACTCCAGTATCTTTGCCAAGAAAACTCTAGAGAGTCAGACACAACTGAAATGATTCAAAAACAAGAATCCTAAAATGCAAGCCCCCGGAAGGCAGCTACTGCTTTTGTTTTACCTTGAATTGTCAGTGCTTAGCTTAATACTCCACACATGGTAAGCATCTAATAAATGTTTATTGATTAGTTGATTGTTCACCTACCATCTAGTTGTGACTCTCAGTGGTGAGATTTCAGTGATCCCAGGAACCAATTAAAAGGTAAGTATTTTACCTGGTCAGTTTGGGGTTTTCCAAAGTCTTACTCTGATGAAGAGGAGGGGACATTGGAACCTTCATGCCAAGGGAAAGCTTTATATGTGGTCACCTTGACTCCAGATGTCACAGTTCCAACCTAGCTGACTGGTGATGGATGTTTCAGCCACAGCAATCCATTAAAAACAAACAAACAAACCACTCAGGTGAAAGGAATTGTGATGTTCACTGGGGATCCCACACCAGCACAATCTCAGACAAATGCAGCACGCAGAAAGAGAGGAACTATTAAAAGCAGACAGAGTGCAGTATGGGGTTGGCATTGTTCCCTAGAAGGGGAAGGGAAGGGAGAATAAAGGCAAAGGCAGCACCTTAAAGGAAATTAAAGATCGAATTTCCCTGTTTTACAATTTACTTAGAGTCAATCCTGGTAAATTCTAGTGTATAGGAAAGTCATTCACCAGATTGCAATTTTGAGTGTCATTTGACTTCATTAGGAGAGATTTGCTAGTGAAATGGATCTTTGGCCTAGTTTTGAAGAATGCATTTTGTGTCATTTCTCCTCAGTGGCGGGGATAGTTTCACCTTTGTCCCCAGAATCTGGCACACAGCAGGTCCTAAAAGAAAAAAAAACTTTTTGGAACGATTCAACCACTCCTTCACAGAGGAGTATAGTGCATTTCTTGGAAAGCAGTTTAATTTATTTTATTTTTTTTATTTTTCTAAATCTGGTTGCGAAACACTATACACAATGGGAGGTAGCTTTGCTTTAAAAAGCCTGCCTGTGTGGTGGCACTGATTTGGATGGCCCCATGTTTTTCTGATAAGTGGCAGTGTTTAGCTAAGAATAATCAAGGGAGAAACAATCTCAGAATTCCTAATTAAGTAATGGGGCAATGTCTTCCTCCTCCAGGAATGTAATGATTCTTACAGAATGCATTCTGTTCCCTCATGCCCTAATCCACTTATTTCCATTACTTTTATTTTTTTTTTAAATGAAGAATCAGGAAGGCAGGATTGAATCGAGGGTCAGCTGGATTTCAATTATCTATGATAGAATATTTAGGTTTGATTCTATGCCAGGTTGTTAATAGATACCAATGGGGGAAATAATTCACTGGGCCCTACAACAATCAGCTTCATCTAGACAAGGTAAGGAAGAATGATGTAGTCACCTGTACATCCAAAACAGTCTCTTCAGACCAAGTGATTCTTGGGAAACTATATAGGGTATTGCTTTTATTCTTGAAGTTCGTATGTCATCTTATTTCATTTTTATAACATTACTGGAAAAGGCAATAAACAGGTTCTATTCTCTCTAATAGTAGATGAAAGTCATTGGCTTTTCTCAAGGTTTTACAATGATAACATTAGGACTACCACTTACTGATACCTAGATTGTCTTTTTTTCTGTCCCATTAGCCTTGCCACAGTCTGAATCTACCCTTTTCCAGTAAAACACAAATGAGTGTGGACAATTGCCTTCCATCACATTTTCTGAACAATTTCTCCAGTTACCATTAATTGAGGCCTTTGTTGAAAAGAAACGGTCAGTAAAATATGTGCAGAGTTTTATTTGGGAAAGCTTCATCAAATTGGGGTCATTACCATGATTGTTGAAAATATTAGCAATAATTAATATAAAAAACTAGCTACAATACAGTTATATAGCTTTAAGCTTATAAAGTATGTCACATACTTTCATAAATTGGTTTTCAAACAATCCCTTGAACTAAGTTTGACATTTAGAATCTGGTAACTTGGCTGTAACACTTACAAGTTATGTATTACATTGTCAAATTACTTATGTCTCAGAGCCTCAGTTTCTTCATCTGTAAAATGGGATAAATATAACTTATATTACCTACCTTGAAAGATTATCATGAATAATAGAACAATGGGGGCAGCAAGGTGGCACAGTGGATAGAGCATTGGCCCTGAAGTCAGGAGGACCTGAGTTCAAATCTGGCCTCAGACCAAACACTTCACACTTAGTAGGTGTGTGGCCCTGGGCAAGTCACTTAATCCCAATTGCCTGAAAAATAGTAATAGTAATAATAATGGAACAATGGAAGAAAGTGTTCATATCAAATGGGATCAATTTTGTCATTAAAATAAGAGCATAAATTGTGATACATCTTAACTGCTCCTGATTTTGTTACATACGTGCATACAAACACAAGCATACATATTTAATGTAAAATACAATAAAATAATATAATACAATGTAGTAACATATACATTACATTGAAATGTATTGGTTATAAGTATATAAAAAATTATACACTATGTAAATAATTCTATTACTAATGTTCATACATATATGTATACATATATGTGTATATCTATCTATCTATATCTATATCTTTATCTATCTATCTACCTATCTATCTATCTATCTGTCTATTTATATATTGTTCATTCTCTCCATTCTCTTCATTTCAAAATCCCTTGACATCATTTCCCACTCCCTCCTCCTTTCCCCCAGTCACTGACAAAGAGGTGGCCTTTCTTGCCAAGGCCAAACCCTCTACATGTACACTTGATCCCACCCTCCTCTGTCTTCATTTCATTACCTTGTCAATCACACCCTGTGTCCCTTGAATCTTAAACCTCTATCCACTAGCTCTTTCTCTGCTGCCTTCCAATATGTCCAAGTCTCTACAATCCTTTAAAAAACTCTTCACTTGTCCCTACTATCCCCTCAAGTTATTATAATATATATGTATATGTCTCTTTCTCAGCTAAATGTCTTAAAATTGTTGTTTATAGTTGACAATTGTCTACACTTACTAGTCATATGTAGTTCTTAGATTTTTTTTTTTAAAGAAAAATCTTACACTGTTGTTCATACCAATTGTAAAAGGAACATTAGTGATGATATAAACATGTGAATCAGTTGTCAACAGTTTGAATTTGGAGAAGCAGAATATGAGTAATCTTTTACCTCAGTTATTAAAATATAGGTTCCTTTGAGGCTTTAGGTATCCATAATTTATTCATCTAATAAGGATTTGTTTTTATTTACTATGCACTAGGCAGTGTTAGGTACTGAGCATACAGAGAAAAAAAATGAGAGTTCCTTCCTCCACAAACTTATATTCTACTGTGGGAGATACCACATAAATACCTACATATGTTAGAAGGATAGCCTTAAATAGAAAGACACTTGTAGCTGAAGAGACCAGAAAAAAATCTCCCACAGAAGGTAGCACTTGAGCATATTCTTGAAGCACACCAGGGATGGCAAAATATGGAAGTGTGAAGGGCAAGTATTGCAGTGATAGAAGGTAGATGATGCAAGAACACGGAAATGAAAGATGAAGTGTTGTGAGTGAGCAATAACAAATAGTCTAGTATGGCTGTACCATTAAGTAATTGGAAGGGAATGATTATTTAATATAACTGGGAAAGGTAGGAAGGAACAAGTTGATGGTTTATTTGTGTGTGTGTGTGTGTGTGTGTGTGTGTGTGTGTGTGTGTTTAATACAAACAGATATGATGTTTGTTCCTAGAGGTAATAGAGAGCCACTGAAATTTGTTGGATAAAGGGAGTGACATGATCAGATCTGTGCTTTCGGATAATCACTTTGGAGTATGAGCAGATCAACTGGAGTGGAGAGAGACTGAGGAAGAGTGACCTTTCAATTGCAGATATTACAAGAATCCAAGCTATAGGTGATATAGGACTGAACCACTTTGGTAGTGGCTGTCTGAGAGAAGAGAAGGGGACATATGTAAGAGATATTGTGGAAGTTGAAGCAACAAGATTTGAAAAGACATCTAATGGACACACCAAAGACAAGCATGGGAAAGACACAGATTTAGAAGAAGTCACATGGGGGAAGCCAATAGTGGGACCCTTGAAGAAGAGAGAAATTCCCAGCTATGGTTTCCACAAAGATGCTAGCCTTTGGAGGACAGCAGAGAACTATTCCTAAAAGAAACTCTTTGGGAAGTCTATGAAGAAAGGAATGGACTTCCAATAATTAGGAATTGTTGGTTACCTCTTTTCTAATTCTGTTTTCTGTACGTGTACTCACTATCTACATTTAAAGTTTGTTCCCAATCTCCTCATGGACCCAGTGCATATTTGAGGAAGAATACTGTAGTCCTTGGCACCAGGAATGATTCAACATCAGAAACTTAGAGGTTTATCAATGAAAATGCCATTGAAGAGGAAACATGGCCATCTGCTTTGGCATTTCGCTCCAAAGACCAAGGGACCTTCATCCTTTGACTTACAGATGGAACCTTCAAGATGTGTATTCTCCCTTAGAATGTGAGTTCCCTGAGAGCAGAAACTACCTGGCTCTTCCATTTGGATCCTTAGTGCTTTGCACATAGAACATGTTTAACAAATTAATGACTACATATTTATTCATTCAAGAGTGTGCTCCAATTTTGTGTGTGTGTGTGTGTGTGTGTGTGAGTTGTTTTATAACTTTTGTTCCTGCTATGCCATTGTAAAACAAAATAACTTTGCTAAAAAGTCAACCTGCTTTATTGTTAATGGGAAGCATAGTGGGGGGCAATTACTATCCACAGTAACAGGATCCCAGCCTTTCAGGA